TACTTCACTCAAGAATGAGCTATTACTCCCCCGCCTGAGAGGTTCGATGAAATAAAAAGAAGGAGCTACACCCCTCCTTGCGCCCTAACCAATGCAATACACCAGAGACGGGGTAAGATATACCCACCCCGGCACTGACTGTAATAAACCCAATGTCCTACTAAATTTAATCCCTAATACTAGTATTAAACTCTAAGTCTATAATTATTCTTATATTCTAAAACAGTTCCTAAATATCAGAAATAACAAATACTATAATTGTATCTGTATAATGCATTAGATGCCCTAATCCTCCAACACTACAACTGCCCCACCTCCGCACCGCCAAGACTCACGACTACCCTGGGATAAAACTCCCAGAGCCAAGTCCTCACCCACGGTCACAAAAGTGCTATCTATTTATCTGGTATCTTCTGTTTCCCGGAAAACACCCCTACAACGGAGTTAAAACCGAACAGTCAACCAAGATAAACAAACAATCAAAAGCAATTCCAGTTATAGATTCACCAGAACAACATCACAATTAATACAGATTCCAACCAAAGCGAGTTATGTAATAAAGTACAAGTAACCTAACCTAGTTAGTAGAGGTCTAGAGTCTAGCCTCTAGGTTCTATTCAATTCGCGAAGGGAATTATAAATACAACTCCCTCCACCAACTAAACAAACAGACCAACAAATCTGAAATATTTGCCCTAAACTAACCTAAGGAGTAAGGATTGCTAAGAACTATTTAATAATTGGAAATTGTTTACACCCTACAATTTGATTAAGTTATTTTATATAATAATTAATAGAATCAACTTAACCAATCCTGCGAAGGAGACTAGAATCCCCTTCACAAGAGCAGGACTCCTGGGAGCAGCTAGCTAGCAGAACCCCCACGATATCCACTCAATCTATATTTATTCTCAATAAGCTTCACGCCTCTGAAAACAAATTAAACAAATCCAAAAAGCTTATGTTCCACAAATAATCACTAGCTTTATTTGTCTCCTATTCCCCCTTTATTTTTAATTATTTAATAATTGGCTAAAACACAGCCCCTGGCCCCTACCACCAAGCGGGTAGGTGGGCCTAGACGGAACTGCTGGTAACACGAGCACTCACACACGTATACAGCCAGTCCACGTATCAAAAAATAAACGAAGGAAAAGCCCGACAAAATCGGGATAAAGGAGAAAAAGCAATGATTAAAAGGCAAAAGCAACGGATTTCCTACCTTACGATCCACGAGAATCCCACCTCTCACAACTCCAAAAGTACTTGTAAGTTGAAGGAGTTTACGATTTTGCAGGAGCAAGACTTTTGTTTGTTGTTGACAGTCGAGTCAATAAAATAGATCGCAACGCTCACGCACCCAGATATCCTCCGCTGTTTCCGAGAAATCTCAAACTCTCGCACGTGTTCAGAAATTGAAACTTCTCAACACGTGAGCAAATGGGGACGTACTCCGGAGGACCTGGGTGGGCGAATTTCCGCCGCCCTGATTGGTCTATCCCCTCCAGCGAACGTGTGCGAATCTTGAATTCCATTCTCCTCAAGATTCACGCTCGGGGGGATATGAATGGAAAAACATAACCCAGCCTGGGGATATATATACAACCATCCCCCCTCGGTTATTCCTGGAATGTTTCCCACATCCATTATCCATTGTTCTACACATCACATTAATTCACGCCATTCAATAACAATGCTTCCATAAACATTCAACATGGCGCTGACCATCTCATCCTGTTTAAGCCAACAGGTTGATAATGATATACATGTACCATCATTCCATCACACCCAACATTAAAAATACATAAAACAGGACATTCACCACACTTATATTAAAACTAGCCACAAATAACATAACACATCCACTCCCGGGATATAAAACACCGTATTTCACTGCAGCCATCCGGCCATGGGCCTACCCAGCCCCCACCGAACCTGTCAGCCCTTCACGGCGCTCGCTCCCGTAAAGGCACATAAAGTTTAAAATTCACCATTTTAAAACAAATGGTCGGCCGGAACTACGGGCAGGCAACGCCCACCACCCCCAACCGGAAAATTTGTTTCCACTAGGAAACTAGCAGGCATTACCCCGCACAGCTCCAAAGCGCAACTCGGCAAATTTAGGTCCACGCCCCGTTTTGACAAAATAAATTGACAAAACAACACAACAAGTTACCCCAAAACGGTGCATTTCGAGGTCCTAAAAGTCCGTGACGCCAATGAAGTAGACTTGGGAGCTACTTTATAGACACCATAACCAGACATGAAATACTCACTGGAAATGTATCAGGCAATCAGGCTTGACATCCTTAACTTCCAGTAAAGGTACGTCTGTTCGGTTGAGGTGTCGGTTGCATGAGAGAGAGAGTTCATGTTGACTCTATTCCAGGGAAGCTTCCAATAGGAATAGCGCCCTCTAGTGGTGAGGGTGGCTATTGTAGACTGCTATGCTCTGCTACACTCGTAGTCTGCTAATGCAGTCTGCTTCGTGCTTGTAGTCTATATCATAAACTACTACATAGCATTGAGTGAACAGAGACCAGGGATAGCCAATCATACCCATGTCAGCCGGGCTAGGGGCCAACTTATTAAGATGAGGCTGAGATCGGATGAGCGATCTGCGCACGCGCTAATTCATTGTAGACTAAGCTAGATCTCTTCGTGCCTAGGTTCGGGCAGAGCGGAGCTCACGCCTCCCTATTTAGCTGATCCCCAAAATAGGGGGAAGGATATTTTCAAACTGTTATTGCTTGAAATCCCTTGGGACTAGCAAAAAAATAAGCGCATGTATATTATCCTTACATCTAGCCCTACATAAGCCTCGGGAGTTCGGAGATCGGAGCTACGATGGAAATGACTTTAAATCGCTGTTTTGATCAAGATATTTTTAGAGTTCCAAAATGAGCTCCTTGGCTTTGGGGAACATGGAGAAAAACCTGTTCTTTCATATGACATCTCATTTATTGAGTATCACCTTCAGGATCACGAGCGATAAAGGTTTGAATCTCAATTTGGTAATAAAAACATTGACCAATTTTGCATCATCGCGCAAAAGCACGTAGACTGCATAGGGATGCGTGCAATCTCTATGGGAAGTATTTTAGCACACAACATACATGAAGATCTATGTATGGGCCTTGGGTGAAGAAAAAGGAGACCTAGTCCTAGCCAAGGCAAAGCATAGGTCGGAAACACCTTTTTATAAAGTGGTTGTGCAATAAAAGAACAAGAAAATAAGAGATCTAGTTGAACAGATACAAAATAGACGTTTAAATTTACCACTTTCTGCCATGGTTCAACGTTTGTTGTTGTTCAGAATCGGCAATTGTTCATGTGAGATGAGAATTGTCTCGACGATGTCGATGGCGCGCACTTTCAACTCGACTTCGCTATATTTCGGTATCCTGCTCTAAACAATTCGGTACCAGAAAAGACGATCTTGATTCTCGAGTCGCTGAAACATCACATCCTTTGTTATAAAATGTTATGTTTCAAAAAATAAATCATATAATTTTTTATACAAACATAATCAGGCTTCAGCCAAGACAATATTTTTTTTTTTTTTTTTTTAAAGAAGTGAATGAGATCGTTCTATAAAAGGCTAAATAACAAAAATGAAGTGTTTCTTGCCCGCCCCCCCCCCCACTCAGTGTTATTTAGGGTACGCATAATTATGCTTGTTCCCTCTTTTTGAAAGCGCCCCCTATCTGAGGACTGCCAACATTTTCGAAACCCCCTGTCGTGGGCTTTTCGCAGGCTTTTCCTGCCTTGGAGACCCCCCTAAATCATGAAAAATGCTCAATGTACCCCCTAAATTCGGAATAATTTCTCAGGAGTCCAAGAAATGAGAGAGAGAGAGAAAAAAAAAAATCTTTTTAAAGAAATCTCCGGGTGAAAAGTTAATACACCCCCTTTTTTTACAATTATCGGGCCGGACTTTGTCGCACGAAAAGTACCCCTTTACCGGACATTTTGGTAACACGCATGGGGTCATTCCGACCCCGGAGTTGGGGTGGGGGGCGGGGGCAGCCATCTTGGGAAAAAATTGCAAAATAGTAAATAGTAATGTCCTGCCTCCTCCTGTCTTTAAAAAGTCCGGACGAGAAACACATTATTTTAGTTATTTGACCTAAACATAATACTAATATCAAAGACTTTCAAGAAATTGACTGAGGGACCATTTCAATATCCAACAGATCGCCCATCAAATAAATGTAGGGATACTTTTATATACAACAGTCGGAGAAGCAATCGAAGTGTCACTCCTGTGATAAAGAAAATACTCCAAAGTGTAAACATGCCGCTGTTGCCTGTCCCTAAGCGCCCCGTTCCTATTCAATCCTTATTTCCTATGTGTCCCGTCCCTATTTCTAACATGCCTGACATATGTCAACCACCCCTTTAAATCACCAACTATATATATATCACATTCTTACTCATGGGCGGATCCAGCCGGCGGCAGGGGAGGGCCCGGGCCCAATTCGTGAGAAAATATTTAGCGGCGAAACAGCCAGCCGGTGAATAAGCGGGGGGGGGGGGGGGGGGGGGAGCACATTTTTGTTGGCTCTCGACAATTTTTGACAAATCTCAGCCCCCCCCTGCGGAGCGCCAGGGGAGAGAGCCCATCTCCCCCCAAAAAGGGTAAAATTAATGTGTTTTTACCTGTTTTTACTGGATCCGCCACTGTTCTCACTATTGTAACAGGTGAGTGAAATAATTTGTAACATGGCACTTATCAAAAATGTATGCAATAAATTTGATTACATTACGAAAATGGTCTATGATTAGAAAAATGATGGAGCAACGCACTACATGGTCACACTTTGTTGTGGTAGATTTGTTTTCTTCTCTCTCTCTCTCTCCCACTTTCTGCCTCTCTCTGTCTTTTTAAATATCTTGCATGTCATATTATTCATATTTCATATTAGATCATATCGCATTTTATTGATTCTAAATGAGAAATAATGACTAAATTATTAAATGTGAATTCATTGGACCATTTATTTATTTAAAAATTACAATTATTAAACTATTATTTCTATTAACGAAACTTTCAACAAGTATCATACATGATTATATCAACACCAAAATAATCCACTTCGAAGTTACAACGATCGAACTGAAATAAGAGTTGAAATATTACGATATTATAAATACAAGTTCCAAGCTCTCTATTACATTTTTGGTGTCGGACTTCCCATCGAATACATGTACAAAAAACTACTATTTTCTTTAGATTTGACTAATCTATTTTTGTTTGGAATTCAGATGACGCAAATAGAAATAAGGTTTTTATCAATTTATTGTGATTGCGTAAAGAATGAATGAATATGCTATAAAAGTAAGTGTAACTCCATTGATTTACTGTATTAAACTGTAAATAGCAAATGAAAAATAAATTTTGAATACAAGACTAATGCAATAGTTACTTTTTTTTTTTTTTTTACTCGACATTGAGTTTCACATGATCGCAAGAGCCACCTGTTTTTTCACCCACATAATTGTAGCTATAGTAAAAAATAAGGTAAAACTGTGAACTTTCATTTCTCCAGTTCTGTTTTCAGTAGGCACATACAAAATGCATTGAGGTAAACTGGCAATATACTTTCTAAAATGTACAGTGAAGAAATTCACTCTTTAAGGAGTCTTTTAGGGATGATTTCATTTAAGAGTGAAAATCCACGCTCAAAAGAGTGGAATCCACTCTCAAAGAGAAATTAAAATCACTACTTTGAAGTGGATTATTATTATATTATTATATCTATTATTATATGGAAATCAACTCCAAAACGATCGAGCTAGCGAGGTGATCCCTAATGTGATCCCTAAATAAATGAAATAGATTTCCACTCCTCCGAATTAAAAGACTGCGTTAAAGAGGTCCAGGTCCCACCGGCCCTAACGGCTCAAGTTCGATGACAATACAACACTCAGGCCAACAGATGATAATAATATCAGTTACTGTAGCTCTAGCTAATCTTCGTTGTCTGGATGCAACGGTGTTGTCCTCTAACCAGTAACTGGCTCTCCCAGCGCAAAGGGCCCCGACGGTTGTACCGCTGGACCCTTGTAGGAAACCGGCGGGGATCTCGCCAACGTTCACAAAGTTCATGTCGGTCAACTCTCGGGCAACGATGTCAAGCACTTCACCCTGGGTTAGAGAGAGAGAGAGAGAGAGAGAGAGAGAGAGAGAGAGATAGAGAGAGGGAATGTTATTAAAGATAACATTAGTATTAATACTATTAATATGATGGATTTATATAGCGCTTTAAACATATACGATATATTTAAGCGCTTTACAGATATCATTACCCTGCTCATTAGATTCATGCTGGCCTGCATTGTGTGCAGTCTTCCCCACTTCTTGTGGAGCATTCCAGCCGGGCGCCTTTTAAAAGACGCTGCATCCTACCAGGAACCCATTTTAAACCCAGGGTGAATAATGAAGAATACTTAACCAACAGCTTAAAGTTCTCAGAGAGCTAAGGGCATATATAATTGATATTATTGTAATCTATAACTCATAAGTTTTCCATTAATATATTAATCATCTATTTCATTGTTCGCTTCCGACAGGGTCTTTAATATATCGATATCAGGGACTTTTAGATTTGCACAACGGAGAACATGGACTGCCCTTTTAAGGCAATGTGACGTGACTGACGTCCTTTTAAGGCACTGGCAGTGACGTCACATTGCCTTAAAAGAGCAGTCTATGTTCTCCGTCGTGCAAATCTAAAAGTCCCTATTATATAAACATGATAAATGCCACCTACCTCATTTTGCTCGCCCTCTTCCGACATGAACTTTTGCAGGTTGTTAGCCATTTCTGCAGGCCATGGGAATGCAATGCAGATGTTTTCATCGTGTATGTTGACAAAGACCAGGGACTGTGGGTAAGAGATACAAAACATCATGGAAAAATATATCAGTAAAAAAGAAATGGAATTTTTAATTGAAATCTCTAATATTAAATGATTTATTCTTTACTGTAGTTTGTTTACAAAATTTAAGACAAGGAGTTTAAGCAAACAGGTTATAGGACTGACGGGAGGATGTGAGAGAACATAATATCCTTTCAAGCTGCCTCCGCTCTCCCCCTCCCCTCTCCCTCCCCCTCTCTCTCTCTTACACACACCCTCCCCCTCCCCTCTCTCTCCCTCTAGTCTCTCTCTCTCTCTCTCTCTCTCTCTCTCTCTCTCTCTCTCTCTCTCTCACAATGACAATCCCTCCCTCCCCTCCCTCTTCCTATACAAATTAAAATAATCTATTGAAATAAAATCTTGACATAATCATCATTAAATACAAACATATTTAAAGTTCGCCAAATTTGACTAGAAGGGGAATGTGATCCCTCCCGTTGCCCTCGTGTGGAATATTGATTGTGAGACAGTCGAGTTTAAAGCCCCACTGCACTACCTATAGCTATTTGCGGCCTCTATATAGAAAACAATGTCTAATCGGTGACCATTGGTCCTCCACGGTTCTTATGTTAATTGAGAGCTGAGTTGATGAGATAACCACCTGTCAGTGACCATGCAGGGAGGTCTAATCCCTCCCGGCCAAACTAGTGCAGATAGGCTTTAATACATGTACATACCCGATCGTAGTCCAATGCTACGGTAGCCCGAGAGTAGCCACTGAAGTTACTGGGTGGAGTGTGGATAAGAAGGGTATTGCTGGCTTGAATGTACTCGAACTGTTCTGTCATTATACGACCGTCTCCCATCACCAACCTTGTCTCCTTTATCTAAACAAAAAATAAAACGTTTTAAAATAAAATATAATTATTAATTTTCGTTTGCACAAAATATAATTCGCACAGTTTTTAAACTATCATGACAGTCTTTCATGACAGTCTAGGCCACGTAAAGAAGGCCTAGTGAATCTTCCTTTGACAGGGAAAATTGTGGGAAGAAGGAGAATACTTTGGATGGACAGTCTGCAGAAATTGTTGGAAGAGAGAGGAGTGAAAGAACTGGTACTAGTACTACTACAGAAGTCTAGGAGCCGAGGGTTGTGGAACAGCATGGTCGCCAAAGTCAAACGATATGGCACGTTCTTGTTCATAATGTTGGGTCTACTTACTTCTCAAAGTCTACAAACTTGAAATAATGCACTATCTATAAAGATTGAACAGATTGTCCCTGTGACTGACAGGGATAGTCTAACCTGTTCATCGAGGCCATCCAAGGGAACCGGAGGAGTAGCCACTCTAGACAGGTGACATTTCAAAACTGTTTGCACAACACATACTGCTCCCTAGCGGGGTCTTAATAACTGGTGATCACAGCACATTGGCAGAGACAGCTTTGAATATATATACATGAACAAGCGAAATAACACACGACATAAGTTAGAGAATATGTGACCATTGTTACTGCACAATTATCAATGTATTCCAGGTTATAGGTTACAGAACAGCGATGGCTCAGTGGTAGAGCAGTGGTCTCGTAACCGGGAGGTCCCGGGTCCGAAACCAAGCCGATTCACTATAGTGCTCTTTGGTAAGGTATTAATCCTCATTATCAAGTCCTTCGGAGAGGACTTAAACCGTCGGTCCTCTGGTTGCTTACTTACAAGAATACATATGCTTTCTTAGCAGTCGGGTAAAACAGACCATGAACCCAAACCTTAAACTTCTGCACCATAATTACAATTTCGATCTAAATGCAAAATGATCTAGCACAGGCCTTCTCAACTAGTTTATTAGAAGCGCCAAAACAAAAATGAATTGAGGTTGAAGTGCCAACCTGTATGTTTGGTGACTGTGTTACGAGGGAGCGTAGCGACCGGGCCGATACCGGATGGGGTCCAGGGGGCGAAGCCCCCGGAAGCTCGTGGATTTGAGGGCTTTTTTGAGGCCCAGATGTGGCATTTTTAACACCTTTTTGTTCCATAAATCATCAATCATAATTTCAAATTGATGTAAAATAATTAGTACAATTCCTGGCTAAAATCTACACTGTATGTATCTATATGTAGTTATTTTGGTGCAATAAACACGGAAAATGTCAAAATGAAGTGAAAATCAAACAAACAAAATGGCTTGCTTACACTTTGGGCTCAACTTCGACTGCGACTTTTTGATTTTTCTGAGTTTTTTTATTTTAAAATATAATTTGTTAATGTTGTTCTTTCTTTAATTTTTAATTTGTATTAATTTTTTGGAACAGCCGCGCGCCACTCTGACTGACCGCAAGCGCCACGAGTGGCGCGCGCGCCGCCAGTTGAGAAGGCCTGATCTAGCATATTTAGTTTCTCCCCCCTTTTATTATTATTTTCCTGGGGGAAGGGGAGCAATAAACACATATTCTGACAAAGCATTTATTATAGTAGAATCTCCGTTCTTATTTCCCTCTACCGGTATTATTATTTTTCTTATGTTATATAATTATGTTTGTACTCTATATTATGTCAAATATGTCAATGTTTAGTTTTGATGAATGTTATATTTTGATATATTCCTTGTATTTTTGTATATCACAAACTTGTTATGGCGTTCTAGAGGGCGTACATGGAAAGCAGTTTTGTTAAACTGAATGTACCTACCCTCTATTTTAAATAAAACTTGAATAAAATAAATAAATAATAATAAATCTATAGGACCATATGCTTACCATATCACGGTCGAAAATTCCTGCTTTTTCTCCCGGAATGAAGTCTTCCCCCGTACACTGATTGCCACCATCTTGAGCGATCCAAACGGCTCCAAGAATACACCCTCCCAGCACCAAGCTAGTCAAGACGACGGTTGAGAAGATGGTCACAGATCGAATGGTCGTCAGACGAACCGAGTCCGATTGGCCCTCCTGAGGGGATACCTGATATACTTCCTAGGGGGGAAATGGAAAAGGAAAAGGAGGGGGGGGGGGGAGAATCAGTTATATAGTTACATGGAAAGAAGTTGAGGGGAAGACCTCGTACAGGCTTTCTAGATGATTTGATTGCGGAATGTGGAGCAACGGGATATGAAATGCTGAAACGGATGGCTAAAGACCGAAGTACTTGGAGAGACACGTCAAGTAGAACTCTGATTGGGTCACTGAACCTGTCATAAACTGACAGATCACTATTGATGATGATATAGTATGAGCGTTAATTGTTCTGTATATAATTTTTTTTACTGCAAGCAGGGCTTTATCCGAAACACATTACATTATCAATTGGATACTCCACTTATTATTCGGTTCAACTGTCCCCAATCTGCCGCATCAACAAGCATTTAAAAAATGCCCCCCCCCCGGGTAAACTGAGGAGCAGCAGAAAATATCTTTAACATTCAATAGTTGAGTTGGAAGAAAAAATTGAACTATAAATGCACGAGTGACGATTCAAATGGTATGGAAAATATGAATTAGATATCGAATGCAAGCATACGGCTCCCCCACTGACACTTACTTTGAGTCCCTTTTCCATGCTGGTAGTAAACTGCAACTTGATCGCGTACAACGGTTTTAGTAGATACGAGGTTTCTTCAATGGATTAGCGGTATATGAACTTGCGATGTCTAAGGTTGAACCAGAAAAGTCAGCTAGTAGGATGTCTCGCTTTGAATAAGGATTCTGAATTTTGAGAGCAGTTTCAGCAGTTTTTATAGACCTTTTTCAACTCGGAAGTGGCAATTCTTCACGGGGTTTCATGGAAGATCAGATATTATACAAAATAAAAGTTATTCAACCAACAAACTACGTTAATGAAACGTAGTTAGAAATCTGCTTCATGATTGGTAGGACTGCATTAAGGGGTGTGTCCTTGCTTTTCGCTAGCCGTTGATTGGTTGGAAGCATTCATGCTGTATAATTTCGAGGTAATCTCTACGAAATAGAGGCGTATTCGCAAATCCGGTTTTCAATATTTAGTATATGATGTAATTTTCGTCACCACGGTCTCCAATATATTCAATATCTATTATTCAGATAAAGTCAGGGATTTACGTTATTCTTTTAAAAGAAAGATGGTGGCCTAGAAAGTTATTAGATAATTATGAAAGCACATGATCAGTATTCTTTAGCACCAACAAAATGAATTTATTCTTATTTCCTTGATTTTATCGACTAGAGATTCCAACAGTTTTATTTATTTTAAAAAAAAAAAAAAAAAAAAAAAAAAAAAAAAAAAAAAAAAAACATTTCTTACAGCTGAAATGGCAAGCTGAATGAAAAAAAAAAAAAATGATTTACTCTTTTTTTTACACTGTATATCATTGATTTGCATAAACTCGAATGTCCTTGATTGGTTGGAAGCAGGTTGGAAACGTGCAGTGATGTAATCACTGTCTTTTCACCCGCCAAGGAATATCCGGGACCTGGTAAATAACAAAATAAATAATATGAACACGTGACAAATTGATGACAATCACGGTATTCTAAATAAAAAATAAATGACCATGCTAAAATTGCATTGTTCCTTCTTTAAAAAAAGTCAGGCAAATACATTCTCCAATGATTTACAATAATATGGTAGCTTCCTCCATTTATTTGCGTCATCGTCGTCATGTCAATTGAATATAGTTTCATGAAAGAAAGAAGCAACTAATAATCAGGATGCTATTTCATCTCTTTGTTATCATCAAATTTATGGCTTTTGATAGTTTTTTTCGTGGGATTTCTAGATTATGAATAATGAAAGTAAAGATGAAACTTGATATATATTCTGTATACATGATTATTTATATTTTACCTCTGCTATCATTCATTATGTTATCTCATATAAATATTTTTGATTTATTTCTGATCAATCTTCTAATCCTGAATTTGACAACCTATTATATGTAAAGAAGGAGGCGAGGTGGCTCAGTCTGTCAAACCAAAAATATTGGATTCGAATCTAGCCCAGGCGGATGACCAAAGCCTTGTTAAAGATAAAGACCAGTTATGGTCATGCGATTGCATTGTGAAAGAAACGTTGTGGAATCGATCAGAAAAGGTTGATCATCTAGCATATAAGTATTGGTGTGTACTGCAAGGTTCTGGAATCATCTAAATGATAATAAATTTGGCCCAGTCTTGGTAAAGTTACAAGCACTGAACACAGAAAGATGTATATGGGACTACGCGACACGTGCGCGATATCTATCAGGTCCAAATAGATATAATAATTTACCAAATATATCAATTAGTAGGCGGTTTCTCGGCAAATTTGTATTATCACGTATTAGTCAAAACATATTCATTCACATGATTATAATAAGAGCTTCCATTTCATTTTTTTAGAGGGCCGGGGTGTTTTAAAAACTGATCTTTACCTTTAACGTGCCCCTCTCCTGTTTCGTAAACACATGCTATATATGATGCAGAGGGAAATATGAACCCACTGCGTGTATGTGTCGGGGAAAACACATATGTGAAGTGGTCCCTACATGCCATATGCACATCCCAATCAGTTATATCGGGAAGAGAGAGCCGAGGATTACACCATTACGGTGATGCAGTTCGTTATCCCCCACCCATGCCCAGGTGACACCAAATACTTACTACTACTTCTACTACTACTACTACTACTACTACTACTACTACTACTACTACTCCTACTACTACTACTACTACCACTACTATACTACTGATGATGATGATGACTATGGTGATAATAATAATAGGCCAATTAATAATAATACTAGTAATAATAATGATACTATTACTACTACTAACACTAGTAATAATTATACTACTACTAATAATAATAACAATGAGTGATAATAGTTATATCGAGAAGACCTCATAATAATTCATAATCATTTAT